GATTTCCCCTTTATCATTTTTCATTGCATCTATTTGGTTGTTCTCTCTTTTATTTTTAATCAATCTGGCCAGTGGTCTGTCTATTTTGTTGATCTTTTCAAAAAACCAGCTCTTGGATTTATTGATTTTTTGAAGGGGTTTTCGTGTCTCAATCTCCTTCAGTTCATCTCTGATCTTAGTTATTTCTTGTCTTCTGCTGGGTTTTGAGTTTTTTTGATCTTACTCCTCTAGCTCTTTCAATTTTGACGATAGGGTGTCAATTTTGGATCTCTCCATTCTCCTCATATGGGCACTTATTGCTATATACTTTCCTCTGGAGACTGCTTTAAATGTGTCCCAGAGGTTCTGGCATGTTGTGTCTTCGTTCTCATTGGTTTCGAAGAACTTCTTTATTTCTGACTTCATTTCATTGTTTACCCAGTCAACATTCAAGAGCCAGTTGTTCAGTTTCCATGAAGCTGTGTGGTTCTGGGTTGGTTTCTGTATTCTGAGTTCTAACTTGATTGCACTACGGTTTGAGAGCTGTTTGTTATGATTTCAGTTGTTTTGCATTTGTTGAGCAGTGCTTTACTTCCAATTATGTGGTCAATTTTTGAGTAGGTGTGATGTGGTGCTGAGAAGAATGTATATTCTGTGGATTTGGGGTGGAGAGTTCTGTAAATGTCTATCAGGTTTGCTTGCTCCTGGTCTGAGTTCAAGCCCTGGATATCCTTGTTGATTTTCTGTCTGGTTGATCTGCCTAATATTGACAGTGGAGTGTTAAAGTCTCCCACTATTATTGTGTGGGTGTCTAAGTCTCTTTGTAAGTCATTAAGAACTTGCCTTATGTATCTGGGTGCTCCTGTATTGGGTCCATATATGTTTAGGATCGTTAGCTCTTCTTGTTGTATCGATTCTTTTACCATTATGTAATGGCCTTCTTTGTCTCTTTTGATCTTTGTTGCTTTAAAGTCTATTTTATCAGAGATGAGAATTGCAACTCCTGCTTTTTTTTTGCTCTCCATTTGCTTGGTAAATCTTCCTCCATCCCTTTATTTTGAGCCTTTGTGTATCCTTGCATGTGAGATGGGTTTCCTGGATACAGCACACTGATGGGTTTTGGATTTTTATCCAATTTGCCAGTCTGTGTCTTTTGATTGGTGCATTTAGTCCATTTACATTTAGGGTTAATATTGTTATGTGTGAATTTGATACTGCCATTTTGATTCTAAGTGGCTGTTTTGCCTGTTAGTTGTTGTAGATTCTTCATTATGTTGATGCTCTTTAGCATTCAGTGTGATTTTGGAATGGCTGGTACTGGTTGTTCCTTTCTATGTGTAGTGCCTCTTTCAGGAGCTCTTGTAAAGCAGGCCTGGTGGTGACAAAATCTCTGAGTACTTGCTTGTTCACCAAGGATTTTATTTTTCCTTCACTTCTGAAGCTCAGTTTGGCTGGATATGAAATTCTGGGTTGAAAGTTCTTTTCTTTAAGGATGTTGAATATTGGCCCCCACTCTCTTCTGGCTTGTAGTGTTTCTGCCGAGAGATCTGCTGTGAGTCTGATGGGCTTCCCTTTGTGGGTAACTCGACCTTTCTCTCTGGCTGCCCTTAGTATTTTCTTCTTTATTTCAACCTGTTGAATCTGACGATTATGTGCCTTGGGCTTGCTCTTCTTGCAGAATATCTTTGTGGTGTTCTCTGTATTTCCTGCATTTGAGTGTTGGCTTGTCTTGCTAGGTGGGGGAAGTTTTCCTGGATGATGTCCTGAAGAGTATTTTCCAGCTTGGATTCATTCTCTTCGTCCGCTTCTGGTACACCTATCAAACGTAGGTTAGGTCTTTTCACATAGTCCCACATTTCCTGTAGACTTTGTTCATTCCTTTTTGCACTTTCTTCTCTAATCTTGGTTTCTCATTTTATTTCATTGAGTTGGTCTTCGACTTCAGATATTCTTTCTTCTGCTTGGTCAATTCGGCTATTGAAACTTGTGCATGCTTCGCAAAGTTCTCGTATTGTGTTTTTCAGCTCCTTTAATTCATTCATATTTCTCTCTAAGGTATCCATTCTTGTTATCATTTCCTCACATCTTTTTTTAAGTTTCTTAGTTTCTTTGCATTGATTTAATACATGTTCTTTTAGCTCACAAAAGTTTCTCATTATCCACCTTCTGAAGTCTAATTCCGTCATTTCATCACAGTCATTCTCCGTCCAGCTTTGTTCTCTTGCTGGTGAGGAGTTTTGGTCCTTTCTAGGAGGCGAGGTGTTCTGGTTTCGGGTGTTTTCCTCCTTTTTTCGCTGGTTTCTTCCCATCTTTGTGGGTTTATCCACTTGTCGTCTGCGTAGTTGCTGACTTTTCGATTGGGTCTCTGAGTGGACACCCAGATTGTTGATGATGAACTATTTCTGTTACTTGGTTTTCCTTCTACCAGCCTAGCCCCTTCACTGTTCTACTGCTAAGGTCCACTGCAGGCCCTGCTTGTCTGGGGTGCACCTATAGCAGCTGTGGAACAGCGAGGGATGCTACCAGTTTCTTTTTCTGCTATCTTTGTCCCAGGATGATGCCTGCCAAATGTCAGTCTTTTGGATATAGAGGGGTCAGGGAGCTGCTTGAGGAGACAGTCTGTTCTTTTTAGGAGCTCAATTTCTGAGCTGTGAGCTCTGTTGTTCATTCAGGGCTGTTAGCCTGCTATGTTTGATTCTGCTGCAACAGAGCTCATTAAAAAAACCCTTTTTTTCTCAAATGCTCTGTGTTGGGGGGTTTGGGCTTTATTTTTCGATGTCTGTTGAGGTGTTCTGCCCAGCTAGGAGGCAGACTAGCCACTGTTTGCCTGCTGAGTCTCCGCCCTGCTGTTGTGTGATTCGCCCTGTTCCTGCAGGCTCTGCTGTGGTCTCCACCATGCCCTGCGGCAGAGTCTCTTTGTTGTAGCGTGTTTCCTCGGCAATGGCTGGCTGCGTCAGCAGTGGGCGTGTATCTCAGTAGGGACGGGTTGCCTCGTCAACGGGAGGCTGCGTCAGCAGTGGGCGTGTATCTCAGTAGGGACGGGTTGCCTCGGTAATGGTGGACGCCCCTCCCCCACAGAGCATCTCGGACCATCTGTTTGGGATAGTTTGAAATCACGGTTTTGTTCGTCCCACTGGGTACCCCGAATGCTCTGTTCCTGCAATCCCCTGGGCTGGCCTACTGTACGAGACTTGGACAGTCTCAAGTCCAGCCCTCTCAAGTCTCAGGTTGCCGGTTCAACAGGGCACCTGGACAAGCACGCCCTGTGGGGATTGCTGGGTAGGGCCAGCCGCCGCCGCCCCAGCTGCTGGCTTCGCCAGGCAGACTTACTGCCTGGCATCCCATGTCTCCCTTACACTTGGGAGTTTCCCCATTCTGTGGGCAACAAAGATCAGTCTGGAAATGCAACGCCGACTCACCTCTTTGCGGATTCAACGAGAGCTCCAATCCTGGGTTGTTCTCACAGCACCATCTTGAGTCCTCCTCTCGTAATGATGTTTTATGTCAAAACAATAAAGTTTCTAAGCTCCCTTAGCCTACTGTAATTGTTGAAATTTGCGTTAAATGCTTCTCTCTGGTGACATAATGAAAGTTGAAAAGATGGCCCAGAAACATTCTTTGTTTTTGTTCTGTTTTCCTTTCTTTGTTTCGTCTGGTATTTCTTTCTTTTAATCAGTCCTAATGCTGACCAGGAATCTCACCTGATGAAGCACCAAGCTCCTCCAAATAGTCCAGAAGATACTGATCAGAGCTCTGTGTGGAATGGGCCAGTGAATGGGTGAACAAAAAGCTAATTTGAAAGAGGCATCAGACTTTCAAAGGACAGTGGCACAAAGGTTCTTCCAGTTGTTACAGGGAATTTGTAAGGAAACCGGTTCCTATTTCTTTACAAAATTCTCTTCTGGTAGAGCCTCATTAAATTAACTGAGAACACACAAATTAAACATTTCTGAAATAATAACCATAGTGTTAAAACAAATATATGAGTGTTGTCAGGTTTTTACATATTTACCTCAAAAATTACATTTTTACTTCAAAGTGATATATTGATTACAAAAAGAATAAACCTATTTGGTGAAACAAATATATTAGTATTTGTTAGGTTTTAAATATTTATTTCCAAATCATATCATCTATTTTCATGATTGCAATTGTCACTTGCTGTAATTTCTCAAAGGGTGGCATGAAGTCTTAAATTTTATGAGTTGTTTCATACCACCAGTGAGAAATATTGAGAAAAAGTTATAGTAGAGAAAGAGAAAATCCTTCAACAAATCTCGGAAAGTTGAAAGGAATTGGCTAATATTTTGGACTTCGTTTATGTAGAATGTCTTGGGAGCTTTCCTAAAGGTTAAGTTTCCAAAAATATAGGATAAAGTACTAAGTAGTTCCATGTTCACAAGATACACATAAATAATTCGGACTGCTGTATGGCAAAAATGACACCCCAACATGAGTCTAACACAATAGTGTAAATGACACAACAAAAATAAAGAAAACAATAACAATCTTTTATAATGGACAATTAAATACAAGAAAATTTGGTGGAGGTAGAGGATGCACATGAGGATGATTAATTTGAAACAGTATTTAAAAACATAAAGAGCTTGTGATCCTCTTATTAATTATTTAAACCTATATGAGTATCTCCTGTGTCTTATTAACTCTCTTTAAAATACCAGATTGAGCTCTTTTTGCCAAAGGACTAAACCTATTAGTATTCATCAGGACTAACTTGTGTGTGTGTGTGTGTGTGTGTGTGTGTGTGTGTATTTTATATAAGTTTGACTGAGGTCTTTTTGCTGAAGGATATGCAGGTCTTATCAACACTGAACCTGTTGAGTGCCAGGGATTTCATGGAGCTAAAGAGACTGCCGGTGGCTGGGTGCATGCCAGGTGACAGATAGTGATCCCGGTGTGGGGTTGGGTCATTTTGCCCTTTTGCTGGCTCCTCCTGGCACCTCTGGCACGAATCCCTGAAGGAGGCTTGGACTCTGGCACAGGCCCTCTTCCGATGGCAGATGTCATCTTACTGTGATTGGCTTTCTTGGGGGTTCTACGCGGCATCTCTGGGCATCTGTCTCGGGCTTGGATTCACCACAGAAATCTTTGGAGACACCCTATACACCTGTTCGGCCCCCATGGGAAGCCAGTTCCAGGTGTCGCCACCTTGCTGCACACTGGGCGTGCCTCCTTGTGGTTGTTCCCTCCATGTCCAGACAGTAGTGCTGAGAAGCAGGAGCCCCTGGGCTTGGAGATAAAGGCAGGGCCCCTTGGTGGGTGGCCCAGGTCGAAAAGTGGCAGTCAGCTTATGGGGCCCAGTAACTTTCTGGTAACACCCGGAGTGCCCGCTTCCAGGCCTGAAGCGCTCTCCTCCTGCACCCGACCGGAACCGAAGAGTGGGCTCAAGGAAGTACTCAGGTCAGGTCTGTCAGGGGCCTATGCTGCTTGTGGCACGTAGCGTCCTTCCAGGCGCCGACCCTGCCACCGTCTCCACCTTGTACCTGTGCGGCAGCAGCTGGACAGCGCCAACATCGCGGCTCCCCAGCTGGGCAGACGAAAGCGCATGCGCAAGCGGCCTGTCACAAGCGCCAGCGCTGAGCCCGGGCTCGCGTCACAGGAACAGCCACCGTTGCCTGGGGAACGATCACAGTGGCTTCCCAAAGCAGCGGTCCTCTGTGGCAGTGCCTCAGCAACGGGCAACGGACTCTTTCTCCGCGCGATCATCGCTGAGTCCTGCGATTTTAGGAATCCGGCAGGCCGAGCCAGGCAGAAGAAAGATCTGTCGGGGCTTCAGGGATGTCCACGGCGCTCCCCAGGAATCACCAAGTTGCTGCAGACCTGCCCAAACAGTGTGAGGGTGCCTCTCGTTGAAAGCCCTCTCGGCTGGAATTTCCAAGTACGACCTGCCTGCCAATGGCGGTGCTGCTCTGTGCCGAGGGGACTGGGAGCTGCAGAGAGTGATGCAAGGGAGGAGAAGCCAGGCATTTGCTGGCTGCACAGGAAGGGTGAGTTTCCGACAGGACCATGAACACCACACTGCCCCACAGTTCACCCAGGAAACCCAGTTCCTGAGCCATTGTTGTGGATGCTACTGCAGGACCCTGCACCACTGGGTGGGTGATTTATCACCTGCTTAGTAACTTTCTTAGCGGAAGACACTCGGAATTAACGTACCACTTTTAAATGTCTGCTCCTTGAACATTTGGCTGTCAGGCCTTAGATAACAAGCTCCTGGAGCTATCCTGGGATGTGGAGGAGACAGAGAAAGACCCTGCTTATGAGTAAACAAGATCATTCTGCAACCATCTTCATCACACTCACAGCAGCCAAGCAAGCACCACCAGCAAATGCTGATTTCATCCTAGAGCAGTCAGGGGGCCTGCCGTCCTGCTCCACGCCAAGGCATCCCCCAGGCTGCCTGACTGACAGGGGGAAAGTGAGACTCCTGTGGGTGGGCATCTTCTCATGAGTTTCACTTGGTTTTTGGGCATTAACTAACCTTTTGAAATCATTTGCTGACTTTCGATTGATTGCAATAATATTCACAGAAAATAAAACTCACCATTTTAACCATCTTAAAGTGTACAAATCAGAGGTATGTAGTATATTCACAATGCCATCCAAACATCAATGCTACCTAATTCAGAAAGATTTTCATCACTCCAAGAGACACTCCATGCCATTAAGTGGCTACTCAACCCCCAGACAATAAAAACCATCAGTCCATGTTTTGCCCCTATGGATCTACCTATTCTGGACTTTCCTAGGAATGGCATCATGCTGTGTGTGGCTCTCTGTGACTGGCTGTATTCAATTAGCACCGTGTTTCTGTTCTGTGGCATGCACGCCTCAGCACTGCTTTTTCTTTATGGCTCAGTGAGACCACACAGGATGGATGGACCACCGTTGGTTGTTCCCTCACTTGGCTAAGAATACTGCTTCTATTAAAGCGGTATACAGGTGTTTATATAAATGTATTTTCAGTTTTCTCGAGTACACACTTGGAGGTGAACATTACATGTCACTACTTCCCAGGCACTGCCTCTAAAGGTGATGTTTTATGTTTACACATACAGGGTTCTATGATTTCATTCCATTCTGGAATAGTACTGAGCAATATAGGAGGGAAGAATTTCTAGGTCTCTTCCCTTATATTATGCAATATTGAAAACCTCTGTTGGGGAACATCATCTTTATACATAAGTTTTTCCATAAACACACTCATATCATATGTATGTGTGTGTGTTTATTTACTTATCTATATCTGTCTATATTCATACAGAGTAACAATATAGAAAACATTATTGATAGGCAAAGTCAATGTAAAGAATATAAAAAGAAACTTCCATACATCTGACCTGTAGGCCTATACGCCATATCCACAATAGTACACAAATAAAGCTACACTCTGACATACATCCTGCTGAATGTTATGTGTGTAAGAAAAGCATTCATTCCTGCTGCTCATTTCTGTGAGTAGAAAACATATAAAGCCCACAGCATCATTCAGTGCCAGGTTGATGTTAACCCTTCCTCCTTCCAGTGAGCACCAGGTCAGAGATGAGCTGGCCCCATTCCAAAGGCCTTCACACCAGATCTGAGAATGCTGACTTCTCTTCAGTGTTTTCATCAAGGCAGGAGATTTTCTCTTTTTTTCTATTAATGTTTGATGTAGGAACACACTCCTGTCTTTTAAATTTTGCTGGCTGGAGAAATGCCTTTTTAGTTATGGGGGGGAAGCCTAGATCTATTTCCTGAAAAGAGACTGCCATACTGAGAGCAAATGTTAGGGTGCATGGTACCTGAGCAGAAGACAACAGGTGCGAGTTAACATGCACCCTAGGGCCAAAACTGGCTGTATTATTCAGGCGGTTTCTCTGTCAAAGACTTTGCCTGCTGCTGTTAGCCAGCTCTTCCCAACCCTAGCTGGATGGACAGACCTTCATAGGGCTGGTTTCCTGAGCCCCTGAATTAAAAACACCTGGGTGCCAGGTAAAAAGGACTTTGTCACCAATAGAAGGAGAATGGAGTGGGGCATTTTGCTTCGATTAGATAGACTTGTATTTAGCTAATTGGCCCGTTGGATTCACTTGGGCTGGAGCAGCTGGCATGAGAGATGACCACTGACCTAGCTTTTTATGGGGCTTTCTTTTGTATCAATACAGATAGGTAGATAAGTAAACACACACATACAGCATTATATGAATACTTCTATGTGCTGTCTATGCCAAAAAGCCCCAGATAAAATCTAGGTCAAGGGCTGTTTCAGGTTCCAGCCCCTATAGCTTAGGAGAGTCAATTCAGCCAATTAGCTCAGCCCAGGTGAGTTCAATCAGCCAGTGAGGTGACGTGGGACTGCTCAAGCATCAAGGCAGGCCCACAAGGATGAAAGTGGAAAACACAGACATCACTCAGGGAAAAGCACAGGGCCCTGAGATGCTGAGCGGGACATGACACCTTATATTGGCAGCACAGCTCACTCACTTCCTGGACTTTTGCCTAAAGGTAAAGCTTTATGTTCATATGTACAAAATTCTGTGGTTGAGCTCCATCCTGGGATGGTATTGAGCCATACAGCAGGAAAGAAAGACAACGTCTGTGCCCTTAGGATAGGCTGGAGTATTGAAACATCTGTTGGAAAATATTGAATGTATACTGAATACTTCCATAGGTATCTTAGATAATACTCCTTGCCTGTGCTTATCTGTCTACTTGTCTACATCTATATCCATGTGTGTATATATCTATCTACATTGAAACAGAGTAAATATACACAAGGTAGAAGTATTGCTAGGTATTAAAGTAATAATATACAAAGGCTTCCATACATGTAGAGATGTATGTGCTCTTTAAACAATATCTAAAATACTACACAATGAACATATAGTCCGAAAACATCCTGATGCATTCTATGTATACTAAGGAATGATTGATCTTTACTCCCCACTTCTGTGAGCAGTAAATTCACTAAGGCCATGGGAGTCATTCATTGTGAGGTAAATAATGACACTTTTCTTTTCAGTAGACACCAGGCCAGGAATGAACCAGTCCCAGTTCAAAGGCTTTTGCCCAATTTCTTTTATTTGGTTTTTGAGATGGAGTCTCACTCTGTCACTCAGCCTGGTCAAAGGTCATTTTATATTCCAGCACCTACAGCCCTGGTGAGTCAATTCAGCCAAATAGGTCAGCCCATCTGAGTCCAACCAGCTAATGAGGTGACTTGGGACTGCTGAAGCATCACGGCTAAAGTGCAGTGGCACAGTCTTGGCTCACTGCAACCTCTGCCTCCCAGGTCAAAGCGAGCCTCTCAGGTAGCTGGGAATATAGGCACACACCATCACGCCCGGATAACGTTTTTTTTTTATATTTTTAGTAGAGACAGAGTTTCACCATGTTGGCCAGGTTGGTCTCTAACCCCTGATCTCAAGTGATCTGCTGCCTCAGCTTCCCAAATGGCTAAGATTACAAGCATGAGCCACCGCGCCTGTCTGACAAGGACACTCTTGTCTTTCAGAGTTGGTTGCTGGAGAGAGGTTTATTTGGGTAAAGAAAAACACTCCCCGTCTGTGCCCTGAAGTTAAACTGCAGCACTGAAAGCAAATGTAGGGAAACGTGGTTCCTGGGCAAAAGACGACAAGGTTAGAGTCAACGCATGCCCAAGTGCCCAAAGCGGCTCTTACTGGCCAGTCCAAAGGTCCTGTGTGTCAAAGACTACACCCAGCTGTGTCAGCCAGTTCTCGACGACCCTAGCTGAATAGCCATAACAGTACTGGGTAGGTTTGATGAGCTCCTGAATTAAACCAAACCTCAGTGCCAAATAACAAAGGCTTTTTTACAGGTACAAGAATGCGATGTGGTGCTTGGCTCAAAGTGAATTCACGTTGACTGAACTAATTGTCTGATTGGCTACATATAGGATACAGGGGATAGAAACAAAGAAAGACCTGTGACCTGGTTTCCTTTTGGAGCCTTTCTTTGTAGATATTCTTACAAATAGGCAGACCCATAAATACACACACTGGATTACATGAGTATGTCTATGTAATTTGTGAGTCCATCTGTGTATAGAAGCCCAAATAAAAACTAGGTTAAAGGTCCTTCCTTTTCCAATCCCTCCAGCCCAGGTGAATCTACTCAATTAGCTCAATTAGCTGATGGGAAAGGTGAGACCCATCAGCTAATTGGCCCAACCCAGGTGAATTCCACTCAAGAAGTGAAACTGCTTAACGATTAAGGCAGGCCCACAGTGGCAGATGTGAGGAATGCAGGCCTACATCCAGAAGAGAATCTGGTCCCTGAAGTGTTAAGGTGGACAAATAACCTTAAGTGGAGATTGGGCAAAGTGACTCATGCCTGTAATCTTAGGACTTTGGGAGGCTGAGGCAGGTGAATGACTTGAGATCGGGAGTTCAAAACCAAACAGACCAACATGATATAACCCTGTCTTTACCAAAAATGCAAAAATTAGCCAGTTGTGGTGGTATGCACCTGTAATCTCAGCTACCTGAAAGGCTGAGTCTGGAGAAGCACTTGAACCCGGGAGGCAGAGTTGCAGTGAGCCAAGATTGCACCACTGCACTCCAGCTTGGGTAAAAAGTGTATAATTCTGCCTCAAAAGGAAAATAAAATTAAACCGGCAGTATTGTCAGTTTATCTGCCAGGCCTTGCTCCTAAAAATAAAACTTTATGTTTACACATACAAGCTTCTATGACTGTTTTTCATTCTAGGATGGTATTGAGCCATACAGGAGGGAAGAAAGACTAAGTCTTCACCCTTAAGACAGGTAGGGTTACTGACAGTGTCTGTTGGCAAGTACCCCAATGTATATGTGCATATTTACATAGAAATACTGATATGTTTCTGTGTGTGTGTATTTATATAAATATCTACATGTATATATCTTCATATCTCTATTCATACAAGATGTAGATATAGAAGGTAGAAGTACTGATATTTTTAGGTCCTGATAGTAATATACGACATCCATCCATGTAGAGGCCTGTCTGTCCTGTAAACTATGTCTGTAATAGTAACCAAACAGTAACCAAACACTGTGACATGCATCACGCTGCACTCAGTGTATGCAAAGGAGCCATTGGTCCTTGTTGCTCACTTCTGTCAGCAGAAATGCACTAAGGAATGAGAGCCATTCAATTCTAGGTCGGTGTTGGCCTTTCTCTTTCTGATGAACACCAGGTCAGAAGTGAACCACCGCAGCCCAATGATCCTAACACAAATTCACAAATAATGGCTCCTCATTTGGGCTCCCATCAAGACAGGAGCCCTTTTTTTCTATAAACATAGAACATAGAAGTACAGTTTTGTCTTTTGGTTTTGGTAGCTGGAGAAGGGTTTTTGGGGTAAGGCAAAGAAAGTCTAGGTTTGTGCCCTGAAGGTAGACTGTGGCACAAAACACAGATGTCAGGGAATGTAGTTCTCAGGCAAACAACAAACAGGCCAGAGTTAACTTATGCTGTACTTCCAAAAAAGCTCTTATTGACCAGGCCAGTGGCTTCTTCTGTCAAAGGCTACACCCAGCCATTGGTGTCAGCCAGCTCTGCTGGTATTACCTGCATAACAAGAACCCTACTCGGTGATTTGATGAGCCACTGAACTAAAATCACAAATGTCAGATAACAATGACTTTTTCACAGATACAAAGAGAATGGGAAGTGGTATGGCTTGGACTGCATTTATTTGGTCTGAGGTAATTAGCTGATTGGATTCTTCTGGGATGGAGGGACTAGAAGTGGAAGTAATCTCTGACCTCCTTTCTTTGGGGGCTTTTCATTGTAGATATATAAATATGGATAGGTAGACATATAAACAACCACACATATGCGCGGTTATATGTCTATGTAATGTCCATTTTTGAGTATGGCTATGTAAAAAAGTCCAAATAAAATCCAGGTAAAAGGCCATTTCTGGCTCCATACTCTTCAGCCCAGGTGCATGTAATTATTCAATATGCTCAGCCCAGATGAATCTGTATTAGCTCAGCATAGGTGAATCCCATCAGCTCACAAGCCAAATGGGCTTTGCTGAAGGATCAAGGTAGACTGCAGTGGTGGAAATGGGGAGTGCAGGCATCCACTGGGAGGGAAAGCAGGGCCCTGTTGTGCTAAGCTGGGCATGGAGCC